AACCTAACCACTCTCAATGTGTTCCGTCCAAAACGGCATCCAAGGTGTTAGATGGACGTGTAGTGAGTGACAGCAGTTTCGTTTTCCCTTGTTTGTTTTGCGGATTAAACGTGGTTGCTGTCGAGACTAGAACCAGTGAGACTGCCAGTGGGCGTAAGCGCGAAAATGATTTGGAGGTGTACTGAGAAAAGTGACGGAGTCTGCTCAGTATAACAATTGTCATGCGGCACACATTCGTTACAGAAAATATGGTCTTGATAAGGATATTCCTGTCAATGAGTGGGAGAAACTAGAGACAGTCCAGGCGAGGCGTGTGATAATATCACCCGTTTGACTGGTATTTGTCATGTCCGGCGAATACTAACGTATAAGTGAAAAACCAGAAACGAATGGTAAAAGGTCAGATTCTACCGGAGAAACTATATGAAAGACTTGTTTTTCTCGGACATTTGCTCTGAGCTGAATTTCCCGTATGCGAAAAATGGGGATGATAGTTCACTTATACATACAACCCAAATGGGAAAATCCCAGTCAAAGAAACATCTTGGCATCCCATCAAAGGTATTTGCTTGACAGGAGGTAAAATACCAGGGTCCGACAGTGTAACTATGTAAGCCGCGCTAAGACAGACCAAACGTTGAATCCAGATTACCGTAGATCAAGATGAATATCTTACATGGCATTATGGCGGTGCAATAGATTTTCCGGTAGACGCGTGATCTCAGGATAGTTGTGTGTATTGAAACTACCGATGGGAGACGTGAATCTGCTGCATTAGATTAGATGATCTTAGGAGAAAAGACACCGTCTGGTCAAAACATTGGTGAAATGACCTTCCAGGGGGAAACCACAATAGAATTGCGCATTACCATTCCTTTAGAATTGTCAAAGAGTAACAGTCAATGCCACTGACACTTTCTAAATCACTCGGTCGCTCCACAGCCTTCTACGGAGGTGACCCGAATCAACTCATCATGAGCGAGGAACCTAGTTTGCATTCGACGGCGCCTGACGAAATGCGTACACAAGGTTGACGGCAACCAGGATAGAGCGCCCCTAACTCACGTGCCGCAAGGTCATGGGATGTTGGAGTTTTCAACAATCTTATAAGTACAATTCACGCCCCTCCTATCCTGCCGTTATTATTCTGAAGAGACAACATCAAACTGGGGTAAGCATAGGACTGGAGTTTTGCTCTCACTACAGCTCATCGCCAGTGCATATCATTGACCGTGCGGGGATAACAGCTCCGGACATCTGATATCATCAACAGACAAAAGAATCTGCGTTGACACTGATGCTTCACTGCCGTACAACCACAAATATTATGATCCATATTAAAGCCTTAGAGTGAAACCAAGAGAAAAAGACTGAGTGATGGAGGAAACCTAGTGCTGGCCTATGTCGAGCATTATGAAGCATCTACACCTCCAAGCACTCCACCAGACAAGCTGGAAAGAAACTGACAGCACGAACACCACTGACATCGATCAGCCAACACTTCTTGTAGTGTCTTCAGCCGAGCGCAGGTGGGGTTATGGGACCTCATCCTGGAAGGCGCACAACACCAAAACTATTCATAGTCCCCCTCACAACCTTCTGATAAGTCATACGTTATCCACCTCGCGGTTTGCGCTATTCTGGAGGCACAGAGAACATTGGTCTCAGTAGACGGTGTTTCAAAATGCGTAGAGCTCGACTGAGCCACTATTCGATGACTATAAACCGATCGCACCGCTTAAGCGTAAACAAGTTTGCCCGTCCAAACGCGATAATTTAGTTGCGTTTAGCGTGGGCTAGTGGACCACTGATAACACGCTCACCTCGCATGTAAAATACTCGGTACGGACAAGTATATGCAATACTGGTTAGTTCTAATCAGAGCGAAACTCGAGTTTAGTGCCTCCCTCATTTGCATCAGAACAGGAGGGCTGTTAAAACGAGAGTGATGTGAGTTCGGTTGTTGATGTAAGCACCTCGGTTTTGTGATAGGCTAGCTCTAGGTCCATTCCCTGTACTTTTACATCAAGCTTTATTCAAACAAATTGGCATGCTTGTACAACATTAAGGCACCAATGCCCTTCTCCGGTGTTGCTGTCAGGGATGAAGTCAGTGAACTAACCGGACATGTCATAGCATTATTCCCATTTGTTGGTCGACTTTAGGCCGTTCAATAAAAAGGCATCCGCCAGTAAGCCTAGTGATATGGATGTCCCGGACTTTAAGCTGCTGACCGACCGACTGCAATTGACCCGGTTTCAGCAACCACTGACTGCTACAAATTTCTTCAGTTGCCTAAATAATCGAACTTCCTAACAAGGTTAGTTTGGTCGCACGCTCGTGCTGCTCATCTTGTTTCCCGTTAATTACCCTCCTGCATTGATCGATGAAGTAATTTGGCACGGTTGATTGCAGTTGCACCACACAGCCGTTCGTGTCTCGTAAACTGGTGACCCGGTGAAGGACCCGAACAATGACCATTCCGGTTGGATAACTCAGGACAACCTTAAGAGGACGAAAACCAAAATTCGATGTATCCCAACCGAAACGTCGAGTTGTCAGACGGGGGCCAGTGCAGGTCTGTCCCGAGCACTAACGTCCACGTCAACAGATGCGCTCAAAGATAACATCAGCGGATTTTCCGATGGACCACACCAGACATCACGTGCGGAACCTTCTGAAAGACAAGAGTCCTTTTCAAATTCAAAATAGCAGTGGATGGACGGCCATGCCGCTTTTGCGATAGTCTGGATCAAAGTAATAGGATCGGTGTTCGGTTCTCCGGGCGTATCACACCAAGGACGTTAGATGCACATGTCCCTATGACACTTAAATGCCCGGCTGAGATTTTTGAGGGTGGTTCATCGTTGTTTAGTATTCGATAGCACCGCCCATATCTACTCAAGGCAATCATGGTTCCGTGACACACGGCTATCGTGAATCGTCAACGCGGACCTGAAGCTGCTGTTGTCCACATGGAAGCATGGGCGATAGAACGACGGTTACATAAATGGATTCGGTATCTGGACAGATAGTTATACAAAATGAGAACAAATATCCATATTCTCGGCGTCCTTCGCGGCAGGCTTCTTTCCATCATCTCCTTGAGAAACGCCGATTTAAACAATAACCTATATCCAGTCAGTGGCCCAGGAGAATAAAAAAGCAATGGGCACTAACGCAAACATAGCGGAACCAGTTTTACTGATGTCAGTAATCGTCGAGCTCCCAGAGTGGACTCATCCTCTGGTCCTTTCCATCTCACGGAAACTATTCTAAAACGGACTGGTCCCAACAATGACCTCATACTAACAAGCAGTATAACGATGGGCAAATTTTCAGTACCTCCCTCAAGTGATGGGACAAGCGTGAACGATATCGCACCCATAGTGACTCTCCAACGGGTCGTTCAGCCTAAACACCCCTCAGGGTCATTGATGCCGCAACATCTAAATGGAGCACGAGGGCTGAAACACTGCCAGTTTGCCTAAGCAGTCGAGACGACTGGGTCGGACACGAACCACGGGTAACTTTGCGACCCAAGCACCGAGATCTCCTTCCGACTAGGGAACCATCACCACAAAAGACACCCACCCAAGGGCTGAACAAACTGCCCCACATAGACAGATTCCACTCCATCAAACACCGTCTCACCCCCTACGATTACACGCCCCACACGATGGCCCTAGTCGCCGGTGGACATCACATTTTGCAGTCAGCAACCTGCACCGCCAACGGCCTACAGCACAACATAGGCGAGCTTGATCGACTGTTTGGCATAGTAACAACATAACAGCAGAACAACAACCCGACCGACCGCCAGTCTTCGGTGGTCGAAACCGTTGTTGCTACCAGCTGTGTAGCTAATGGTTTCAGCACGGAAAATCACATCCAAGGAACACCACAAATCCCCGAAGGCCGTGCAGGACGGGCACTACCACGCACCAAACACCAGATGACTCTTTGGCGCTCTTCCGGGACCATCCACCTTCAGAGTGGGACCTAGCGATGCACACCCCCAATTCGAGTCTCATACGGTACTTGGAGGTCAACCATGCAGCTGAGAAATTGTTTCACTGCAGTAACGGAAGGACCAGAAACCTACCAGTTGCTTTCCATTCCCGGTTAAAGCCGCTCATTTTTCAGGTTTCATTGTCAGTGACAACACCCGAAAGGTGATTTAATAACAGCTGAGGTCCTCCAACCCAACTAGATGCGATCACGCCCACAAGCTGGCCACCAAGTGCGGAAATCAACACAACCCCACTAATTACAGGAGTTGGCTGGCCGAATTAGGCAGGTGAGCGTGACCACACCTGTTCTCCTGAACCAGGCCTCCTAGAATAATGGACCGAAAAAGGCCGGGTCACACGGATAGACGCGAGAACTGGACAAACCTCGAGATCCGGCACTTACGCCGCCTATAAACTAACAGTCACCAATCCTCAGCTACTCGTCTGACGTGTACCTCGACATAAGTCTAGTTTCACTAGGTGTCTACGGCGCCTGACATTCAACCGTTGATGGGACACCACGAAAGCACTATCTGACCCAGGGAACTTCAGACTCAACGCGAAGAATCAGCACCAGCTGCGCTGCAACCTATTACATTGCACTGATAACATGTATGCACCATCACATCTTCCGGGCCCTCTTTCCAAGTCAATGCCTAAACGGTTTTCCCTGAAAACCGATAATGGTGTCACCGGTTGCAGAAGCGTACCCTTGGAATCAGGTAGATGAGGATGATCGCCATGACCGGGGCTGGTAAACCAAATTCGTCGAATTCAATTACACCAGGTCGGTCGTTAGTCTGGTCGCTGACAGCCGGACTAGACAACGACTAACAATGCTTACCGGATTGTTGAAAGCTTGGTTAACATACCAGCAGATTACTGGGGTCCCCTGCCACCCAAGGGATAACAACAGTAGACGGAATAAAATGTGTATTACTTTCCCAATAAACAAGAATTGTGAGCTGTACGTGAAATGCATCTAACTCAATTACCAGAGCCATGCTCTTCACCATCGCTTTGACGGCTGTTATCCATTTCCTCATCGGAATGTGGGCGCTCAGAGCCCGATCGACTGCGACGCGAGCCGGAACGGGAACGAGAGCGCGAAGCAGAACGTGACCGCTCAGGAGACCTGGAAGCTGGGGACCGCGACCGACTCCTAGAACGAGATAAGGAAGCCGACCGAGATCGCGACCGCCGCTCTGACCCGTTCTTGGCACTCATATCTCTTCCGTTGCGACTGGGAGACCTCGACTCATGACCCTGAATTCCATAGCAAATAACAAATAAAAAGGAATCTTACCAGTGAGTGCTTCTCTGAACGATGTGAAATCGAACGTTCACGAGAGTGACGCGATCCGGAATGGTGGGACACACTTCTAGACCGGGCATCACCTGACAGTTCCCGAGATCTTTTGTGGGAATCTCTTCGCCCATGTGACGGAGATCTATTTCCTTCACTGGATCCTGTACGCTCACGTCGGCGACGTGGTGAGCGCGTGCGATCCAGCCGAGGCGATTCTCGGCTCCTTGAGCGATTCGAATACTTGCGGGTACGACTGCCCGAACGTGACCTGTTCCTAGACCTGGAACGCGAGCGACGGTTCGGGCGGTCTTCGTAGACGCGTAGTTTCCTACCATACAATTCGTATCCATCGAATTTCTCAATTGCCTCCTTCATGTCAGCGTACTGTGAGAACTCCACAATACTAAATAGGTTAGTTGGACAAAAACAGGACTCACCCGTCGTTTCGGGCTGACTTATGGGCATCAGCATACGTAACATCGCCAGCCTTTCTCATAAGATCTTTGAGGTCCTATAAAAGACTATCTGGTTAGACGGGGTAAACGAAATTCAGACAATCGCTATATCTGGAGATTCAGCTAGCCTATATCTTAAAAACGCGCGGGTAAATTACCTCGCGTTTGGGACTGGCCACAACCTCGAACCACGTTACCGACCACAGCTCGGGCCGAACGACCGTTGAACGGTGCGCACCCAAAACGACCTCAAGCGACCACGATAACGATACCGGCCCTCCTACGCGTCCTACGCCAACCGAAACCAACGAACGTTCGGTAACTGAATTCGAGACAGCAGTTGGTTAGTCTCTCGCATTTTCAACAAGCAAACGGAAAAGAAATTCGTCAACCTCACCTGCCAACTGACGCGAGACGACAAGTTTTCGACCACAACCCTGTATTCAGTACGCGTCGGCGGACCATACCTACTAAGGGAGAGTTAGAAGACAATCTAAGCTTACCGGTCACGGCCACCACCGGAACGGCGGCTTCCACCCCTCGATCCTGGTGGTAGACGGGCGTGCTCGACTATGATGCGTTCTCCGCGGAGCTCTCTTCCATGCAAATCGTACACGGCATCATCCGCATCCTTTTCGTTATCAAATTCAACGAAACCATATCCATTTTTTAAGACAACATCTCGCAATCTCCCATAGCCTTTGAAGAAACGCTCGATATCACGTTCACTACAGCGAGCGGGAAGATGACCGATGTAGACGCGCGACATGGCGGACGAAGTGAAACCCGGTGAGATAAACAAATCGTTCAGTGAACCATTAAAACAAAACCCACCACGACAAGAGAGTGAGTAAGTTGGGTAATGTTTACGTTCCACGCTAAAACTTATCAGGTTGAGCTTTTTGGACAACAGTATGATCGAAGGCGCACTTTTTGTTTTGACGGGAGGTTACAACTCATTGAAGCGCGCATTCCCTACTAATCTCGGGCTCTGTGTGTGTCTACTCCCTTGAGGCAGGAGCTGGCTGGTGCTTGTATGGCTCACGGCCGCATCGTTGTGATCATGGATATTATTATGTCGTTATTCACGCGGTGCCAAAATCAATATGCGAAAATCACGTGTATTAAGATGCAGAATGGACTAGTGATGGAACACGCGTTTTTTTAAGTAAATTTCCTGAGATAATGAGTAAGGTAGCTCTCTAAACTAAGGTGTTTTGCCTGGATGACTGAAAATAACAGGTTTTCAGGCCATGTGCATGCCCTGAAGTGACATCTTCCACTTCATTTCCCGCTCATTCTTGCGGAGCACGCAGTAAAAAACCTCGTTATTTTTCTCTCGTGCAAACTTGTAAAAGGATTCTTTCAGTGTTCCATCTATTCACAGAGTACACACTGTAGTTTTTAATTTTCCAACTCCAACATAGCGTATTTACGTGATAACCATTGTACTTTTGCACTCAGTCCCAACTTTGCAGTCACAGTCATGACACTAATGGATACTGTTTGCTCTCTGCAGCCATCGACGGACCACAACAGATGTGGGCCAAATGGCTGTCCGTCGAACGTTAGACCTGTATGCAAAGTTTGCCAGGCCTGGTTGCATCTTAAATGCACGGGTTTATAGGACGACCGGGTAAGCAAGGTGACCCGATTGTCTGCTCCATCTGCCTCTACATTGTGGGTGCAATGCATGCCGCATCTAAGAAAAGAGCCACCAAATGCAAAACCAAATCCCCACTACTGAATCAGGAGTTGATGAAGAAATTTATTCGCCGAACGAGTACCTTGAGCCACCAATCCCTCGTCAGCTGGCTGCGAAGAGACTCATACAGCTCTCTGACGCGGCAATAAAGACCGCCATGGCGTCCCTAGTGGACAGGCATGCAAGGGAGAGCAGACAGGTCATGTGGAGTCATTCTCCAGGAAAAGCAGGCCAAGGATCAAAGGTCTATATGAGAATCGTTCTCCAGAGGGGCGAAAGCTAGGCCACAGCAGTTCTGGGAGAGGGACGCAAAACAGGCTTCCGACTGACGCCATTGCATCCAACCCCAAACTAAGGGCCAAACCGATTGTAGTCATGGCCCCTCGTGCTCCCGAAAGCGTGTCGACGCAACCGGCAGCGTCTCAGGACAGCAGTTAATACTCAACAACCAAAAGCAGATATGCTATGGAGGAGATAATCCTCACGTAAAAACAGCGCCCAAAGTAGGTAGAGTTATCAGCGGTTCCATCCGTGAGAAACGACAAATGTGAAGCAGCAAACTCGACACCCAAGTCACAACTGGTGAGTTGGACTGAGTCAGATGCAGAAGACAGCTTGCCAACAATGTGCACCAGTTTCCAACAACATGTGACAGCTAATCTCCATATTTATTCCCCTTGACCAGATAAACTGAAACCTTCCTGTTTTACTGAACTATTTTTATAACTCCTACGGACTTTGGGCGGACATTGTGATTTTTGCGGTTGCTCTCCTTCGATATCTGTTTGGTTGTGACGATATCGATTTTGAGGCGTATTGCTCTGCGCTTTATCTTCAGGCTGGTAATTGTACCGCCTTATTTTGTAACCTTACGGTATCTGCAGAGGAGAATCCGTTGGGGTTTGTCGAATATGTATATTATTATATTTGCAACAGTACCGTGATTCCAGAATTCGGATTTCTTTGTCGTTTTTCTGGATTGACACGCGTGACTCAAACTCAGAAAGCAGATAGCCGTAACAGTACTCAACGGCGTATACGGAGACAGTACTCAACGGACTACGGACACAGTGCCCAACGATCCACGGACGCGGTACTGAGCAATCTACAAACACGGAGAAGATGGAGAACGATGGAAAGAAGATCTCTATCTACCGGGGGAATCGGGGCAAATCGGCCGTTCTGGCAATCCTTTAGCTATCAGTTCATCTCCTGGCTCTGACTCATCTAAGAATAGAAAGAAAAAGTTAGCCGCGTTGTTGCGGGCACAGATTAAGGCCGAGGAAATGGAAAAAGAAGTGCAGGTTATGCGGGCGCGTAATGAGGTGCGTCTAGCAGAGTTAGAGCTGGATTCGGACAATGATTCCGTCGTTGACGTGCAGGTTGACCGACAGGGGAAGGTAAGGGATTACCTAGCCGGGATAGTAAGTAGCACACCCATATATGAAGAACCAGTGGTCCAACCGACTCCTTGCGTGGTTAAGGCAGACCTGCCTAGAGTGGACTTAGAGGCTTTCGATGGCAACCCAAGGTGTTATTGGAGATCTATTCAACAGTTCAAATACTACATAGAGGATAGAGCGCAAGATAGTGGACAGAGGATGCTATATTTGATTCATTACTGCAGAGGTCCAGCAAAGGAAGCCGTGGCTGAATGCGTAATGTTGTCTCCTGAGATTGCTCACGGTAGAGCGAGAGATACTTAATGAGGGAACTAGGAGGGAGGGAATATATGGTGGCCAGAGCCATACTGGACGATCTGTTCAAGAAATTGAAACCGTTGGATGGCGATGCAGATTCACTGTCTCGTTTATCGATAAATCTTCAAAACTGTCACATTGCTCTAAGTCAGATGAATCATACTAGTGACATAAATTCCGTCGTGAACATAGAGCGTATTCTCCGTACGTTGTCGAAAGATGCTCGTCGGAACTGGGCAAGGTTGGCTGACTCTACGGACAACCCTGGAAAACAGATAGGTTTCTCTGACTTATGCAACTTCGTTTCTCACGAGGCTTGCATTACTCGCAGCCGCTATGATATGTTTACCATAGGCTCAGAACACCATCGTCCTCAAACGCAGCATCATCGGGTAGGCAACGAAAGGCTCTATAATATATGTGCCGTTCAGAAGGGAACCGATGACTCGTGCCCCTTTTGCGACAGAAGGCATGGGCTGGCGCAATGTTGTGGGTTTACTGACCTGCCAGCGCAAGCAAGATGGCGTGTGGCGAGAGGGAAGCGGTTATGTTTTGTATGACTAAAACCAGGCCATGCCAGTAACAAGTGCGATTCTTCCAAGAAGTGTGGTATAGAGAGCTGCTTGGGGTCTCACCATCATCTGTTGCATGTAATGCCGGATGCCAACAAAACCACACTGGTTGGTTTGTGCAACTCGACATCTCAGACGTAATCAGGATCTCGCTTTGGCGTCGTACCGGTTCGTGTGAATGGCCCGCAAGGCAGCGTTCTTACGTACGCATTGTTGGACGATGATGGCTAGCCAATATGATCACTTGAAGGCTACTACCCTTTTGGAGCTTCCAGGTAAGCGTGTGAGAATATTGATAAGGGGAGACGTTCCAAAGGCACATTGGCCTACGGCGAAAAGGTTTGGCAAGCAAAAGGAACCTTACGCTGTTAAGACACCCTTGGGTTGGGTTCTGCTTGGTCCGTTATCCATAGGACATAAAGTCTGGAGACATGCACCATGTAAGTATGAAAGATGATGACATCACTGCTCATCTATAGGCTCTGCATGAGGCTGATTTCAATGATTTAGAGACTCCGGGCTTATGCCAAAGTGCCGAAGACAAAGAAGCGCTTCGAAACGTTGCAGAGCCTTCAGTGTTCAAGGATGGTCATTACGAGGTACCATTGCCGTGGAGAACGGCTGAAAGACTTCCTGACAATTATCGTATAGCCCATTCTCGGTTGCAATATATGAGGAGGCGTTTTGCAAAGGAGCTGATTCTGTTAGCGCGATACGGAGAACGCATAAACGATAGCATCATTAAGGGCTGTCTCGAACCTGTATCCACTCATCAATCTAAATCAGGGGACGAAAGGAAGTGGTATCTACCTCATCACCCCGTTTTGAACCCGAAGAAACCACAAAAGCTGCGAGTCGTCTTAGATTGCACTGCCAGGTTTGAGGGTGTATCCCTGAACGATAGATTGTATCAAGGTCCCGACACTGCTGCGACTTTGTTGGGAGATCTCTTGCGCTTCCGGAGTGATTATGTAGCTGTGGTTGCAGACATTTCCGAAATGTTCATGCAAGTAAACGTTTGCGAAGGGGACAGGGGTTCATTACGTGTGTTATGGTGGGACTCGGAAGACTTGGCCGGCGAGCCCAAGCAATTCCAAATGACATCCCATCCGTTTGGCGCCACGTCCTCACCATTTCGTGCCAATTTTGCCTTGAGAAAGGTAATCTCAGACTGGGGATTGAATTGTATGAATGAAGTGAAACAATCACTGGATAGATATTTCTACGTTGACGATTGTTTGGCATCACTTCCGGATGTGAGCGTGGCCCAAAGCTTTGTGCGTGAGCTAGGTCGAGTTTTATCAAGGGAGGTTTCCACTTAAGGACATGGATATGTAATAGAGAGTCTCTCTTGAGTGAGGTATGTGAGTCGGATGTCTCGCTATCGGTACCTTCCGTTGAAGCCTTTCAGACAGTCGAAAGGACGTTGGGTTTACAATGGGATGCTAAAGCGGATGAATTTCGCTTCACCTTTGTTCCTCCCGATCGACCGCTCACTCGGCGAGGAATACTGTTTTCGATCTCCTCCCTGTTTGATCCTTTGGGTTTAGTAGCCCCTTTGCTTTTGCCAGCTAAGATACTGTTACACAAGCTGTGTAAGAAGCAATTACATTGTGATGATAAACTGAGTGACGAGGACTCAGAGGAGTGGCAGAGATGGTTTGAAAGTATGAAGCCGTTGGGCGAACTAAAGATACCCCGTTGCGTACAACCTGCTCACATTTATGATGCAAATGTAGACTTGCATATGCTCAGTGACACCTCTGAAGTGGGGTATGGTGTGGTTGGGTAT